AAAATATATGATGACTATTCAAAAGTGCTTCAAAGTAAATTTATTTGAATAAATGATTTTCTATTTTATTCTCTTCTACATAATAATATCTTTAGAGCTAGAACTGTACAGTTTATTTCCTTCGCTTCAAAAGAGTTAGTGATTACACTAATAAAAACTTACGTAACAATAACAAACTGATTTTACCTATATGTCGTTTAACTAAAGTTAGTAATTCGTTTTATGGCAATTGCATAAGGTTTTACAACAAACGACCAGAGTCTGTTATAAATATGCCTGAAAAAATGTTTGAATGTCATATAAAACACTTCCTTCCTAAAAAAGTTTATTATAAAATTGATAATAATGTTTTTGTTGAAAAATTTAAAATTCATAGCGCTGGCAATGTTATATGGTTGCACTAAGAATGAGTGCGTAGCGGTTTCTATGTTGATTATCGCAAGCCTCTTACTTGTTATTGTGTAATTATTTGTATAAAAAACATCTCTTCAAAAGAGCAACACACAAGTTTCTCGCTGATTCTTCTTGTGATAAGTCTGCGTTCCGAATGAGTGGTAGAATCAAAAATATGACTATTCAAAAGTGCTTGTATCGAGTTTATTTGAATAAAGAATATTTCTATTTAAAAAAATTAAACCTACCTTTTTTTTAATTGGAGAAAATCCCTAGTCTAAGTCGTACTCTACTACTACTTTGTTAATTTCGAATAAAATGTCACAGATTAACTCACAATATTTATCTACAGAATATAATCAGTACTAAGACTGTATAGTTTGTTTCCTTCGCTTCAAAACGCTTACGACTAACCATTTCGATACAGTACCCAGAATGATTTTCAGTTAATTTACGGGAGAACAGCCAATTCCTCTCGGTTTAACTGCTGTATACGTTAGGGCAATAGCTTTTTTATGTAAACGAGGATATACTTATGTTGTGGATCTGATTGTATGAGATTTCTTCGGGGGCGGGCCTGCGCCACTCATCCGCATAGAGCTGTTATTACCGATTTTAATTTTTTTTTATTGAGAAAATAAAAAACTGAATATTTTAGTTTTATGTAATATTTGATTAATAATTAAAATATTAGCGTATATTATAATACTGTTTATTAGATATTAAAGCTTTAAAATATTTTATAAATAGGTTAACTTTATTCAAAGGTCTTATAGAGATCGGGAGTTGGTTAAATATTAACAAGTTCAGTTTGAGGAAGAGGTCAATGTTATTTAGAATCACAGATAACATAATATTTAGAATCGAAATAACTACTGAAAATGATTTTGTTTTGTATGTTTTAATATTTTGGTCAATTGTGGACAGACAGAATATTTGCACATGTTCACAGGGAAGAGATTGTAATGTAGGTAAATAGTGGAAAGTGTACACTATACGATCGACACAAAAGGAGTCTGCCCGGCGATCCTGTCCATTGTGGCCAGTTTCAGGTGAATGATGGTGAATGACAGAGATAACACGAAAACCATCCCCTACTGGTGCCCCGTCAGTGTACACCGTTAGAGCGGAAGTTCGTCACGTACGTTGAAACTGTAAATGTGATGTAATCTAACTTGCAAATAAATAAATATCTGTACAATTTAATATTTGTATTCCTGAGTATGGTTGTATGGTTCTGGGTGTTTTCTATGTATATTATGTATGTATTTAAGAAAAATAAAATATATCTATGTATATGTATCAGTTATTTAGTGCCCATAACACAAGCTTTAGCTAACTTAACTTGGGTCTAGATGGCGCTGTGTGAATTGTCCGGAGATTATTATTATTATGACACTGAAATATTCGTATAACAATAAGGCGGTCTTATAGCGAAAAGCAATTATTTCAATTCAGCCTTAGTGTAATGGATATAATTGTGATCATATGGGTGAGAAATACTTTAGACTTAATAAATTAAAACAGGTTAATAAAAGAATATTTACATAATTAAATAAAATTGTGTTGTTATAACAACTCTATATATTTCTCTGGAAATTTAATCTGTATAATGTTTTCGATTTGCAACTTGACTTGTGGCGGTCTGACTCTTGCTTTGTCCAAACCACAATACAGTTGAAACAAGCAAAAATTACTCTTCTGTTCATTGTAATAAAGCTTATTTATTAGATCAATACATATTTGGAAAACAGATTTCTCAAATATTGTAATGGCGCCAGAAATCCCCGGGAAAGCGAGTGCAAATCGGCCATATTGGATTACTTTTCCCGCCTTTTTGTGTTTAAGGATTTTGTTGTATTAAATTCTTGTGTAGATTCAGACCATAATTTAGTGAAACAGATATTATTAAATATAAGACTTATAATAATAAATAATAAGTTTATCATACCATCAAAGAGAGATATATAATATATATAGCTATATATATAAGCAATAATAATAACATCTATTCAAAAGAGCAACACACAAGTTTCTTGTCCATTCTTCTTGTCATCGGTCTGCGTTCCGAAGGAGTGGTGGAATCTAAATATACATAACTCAAAGGTGACTGACATACATAGTGATCTATCAACGCACAGCACAAACCACTGTACGGATCGGGCTGAAATTTTGCATGCAATTAGATGTTATGACGTAGGCATCCGCTAAGAAAGGATTTTGATTAATTCTACCCCCAAGGGGATAAAATAGGGGATGAAAGTTTGTATGAAACTTTGTCAATTTTAAACCGACCGGGCTGAGACTTTGCAAGCATAAAGCTACTATGACGTAGGCATCCCCTAAGAAAGGATTTTGATAAATCCACCCCTAAGGGGATAAATTAACGCGATCGAAGCCGCAGTCAAAAGCTAGTTAAAAATGTGACTATTCAAAAATACTTGTATCGAGTGAATTTGAATGAAGATTATTTCTATGTCTATTTCAATAATCTTTATGTGTATCTAATAATAAACTATTATATTACAATTGCTGCTTATATTAAAATTTAGAAGTACGTAATAATCGAAGCAACCAAACTATACAGTCTTTATTAATAATAATAATAATAATAATATCTCAGGACAATTCACACAGCGCCATCTAGTCCCAAGTTAAGCTAGCTAGAGCTTGTATAGTGGGTACTAGACAACTGATATGAAAACATAGATATTTTTTTGTTAATACATAAAAAATACCCAGATCGACACAAGTAATCATGAAAATAAATCTTTGTACAATGCGAGGAATCGAACCGTGACCATTGGATGTAAAGCGGTATCTAAACTAATAAAGCACTGAGACCGTCAACTAAATATAAGAATCAGAAATACACAGAATCTAAACGAGCAATAGTGTTTTGTCTCTGCCTACCCCATTTCTAGCAAACTACCATGTCAGGTTGACCTCCACGCGGTGCCTCCTGAAAACCATCATGATAAACCCAGACCGTCACAATCATACTGGAACGGAATTGTTAGTAATGTGGACTGATGACCCCATTACTAGCAATGTACCATGTCATGTTAACCTCCACACGGTTCCCCCTGGAAACTATCGTGATAAATTCCTGGTGAATTAGTCACGATGGGCTAACTAACCTGACCTCATGCTCATCTTATCATCCCCCACTGGTGCCCCGCCAGCGTAAACCGTTAGCGCAGGCGGGAGCACCATTCCATTATCATAGATAAAAAAAAACATCCTCATGAATACAAATGTTTGTGCCGTGCGAGGAATCGAACCCGCGACCATCGAACGTTAAGCGGTATGCTAGACCGCTAGACCACCGAGGTCTTCGAATATATAAAGCGAGGGAAAAGTCAATATTAAGTATATGATTGAACTATAATAAATATGATTTCTGTGAAGATCATAATAAATACGCTATTAAATGACGTCATCATGTTTCACGGTTTATGACGTCATAAAAACCCCAATAAGCTTTTAATCCCTTGACATAATGTGTGAGTGAGCTTTTAATTATGACTATAAAGTTAATAGTTAATTAATTATTATTACTATAACTTCATACTGTGATACAATTTTTTTTATGGATCATAATGTAAGGGTGCACCCGCCTGCGCTAACGGTTTACACTGGCGGGGCACCAGTGGAGGAAGATAAGATGAGCATGAGATCAGTCAGTTAGGACATCGTAGTAAATTCACCAGGAATTTATCGGGATGGTTTCCAGCGAGAACCGTATGGGGGTCAACTGACATGGTACCTACATTACTGTCAATCCCCTTTCCCTTCAAATTCGAATGTAAGCTATGAACACACGTTATCCAATTAGTAATTCAAAATCAAGATCCAGAAAATTACATATTGATGTACAAAAGGCCATCTCATCGCAAGCAAACAATATCTTCCAGAAACCTTTGGTTAGAGAAAAATAAACGACAAAAAGTTGTAGGTGGCGCATGAATAGTTATAATTATAGTAGAATATATATTAATATGTATAAGTAGTGTATAAAATATAAAGACAGAATAATATTACAAAATATTTTAGAAAAAAAACACACATTATACTTTTATATAAAGGCCGAACATAATAGATCTATGTATCTACAGGTCTAAGCACCTGACAATAGCGAAAGATACCTAATAAAAGAAATAATAAAAAAATCTGAGCATTCCTCTGTGTTTTTAATATAGACAAATTTTAGTGGTTTAACAAACTCCTAGAACATAGAGAATTTAATGACAATTTATAAAAACGTTGTGTGGTTAACATAGCGCCATCTTTTAACTAGGTCAGAAACTAATAGACTAATGCGCACTTTACGCGCTATTTTTTATTCATTCAATAAAAGCACGGTATTTTACAGCACATATAAAAAGCATAGAAAACTGTAGATGTTGCTTTTCGGTTTGATTTTTCCCGTATCAAAAAGGATTCAGCCCATAATTTAACCTCTGGCAAAGGAAATGTCAAAGTTGTCAGTCAAGGAAGGACTGACAGCAAACTGACATAGCAGACAATACAGACTAGACTATGGACTAGACGGTAGACTTTTACATAATAATAGGAAAGTACAAAACAATTGTTACAAAACAAAAATCAAAAGATAATGACTTCTCCGACGCTACGCACGTCGTCGCACTTGAGCTAAATGATATTATCGCATTAAATTAGATAGACGCAGAAAATGTGATACGTTTTAAACACAGTGATTTTGCAATGATTTAATCGAGTTTAATATGCAAGTGTTTGCTTCTCAATAAATTTAAAAATTCGTTTTTTTTTTATTATTTCTGTTTAGTTTTTTGTGACCACACAATGTAAAAATCCTTTGTTTTACAAGTGCAGTGTATAATGTGTTGAAAATACCAAAATGAAAGTTATAGAAGCCAAAATAGTTGTTCTAGGATCGCAAGGTAAGTCCACAGTTTTTTCGTAATTATTCACTAATTAATTAAAATATAACAAACGACTTCTACTTAATTGTAAGTAGTTAAGTACAGTAAACCTTTCACTAACGTGTAGTTTGCTTTGCTTTCTGTATTGTCTGCTCTACTTACATTGTTTTAAAGTATAACTTTTAAAAAGATATTTATATTCATGAAATTATTTATTTAGTCTGCGGAACAAACAGAATGTGTATTTATTTTTCTGTAGTGTTTTATAGTATAGTAGAATATTATTACTAAAATAGCAAGTGAGGTCATGGTTTCCTCATGAAGTATATTGATTGTCACCTATGTATATAAACAGTATCAAGGATGTTAGATACGTTGGCAAAATTACCAACCTCATTTGGTGGAAGCCATTTAAATTAAAAGAGAAAGAAGGATATTAGATGATATGTTGTGTTACCAATTCAGAGGACTTTTTTAATGGATGATAATGGAATGGTACCCCGCCTGCGTAAACCATTAGGGTTTACGCTGGCGGGGCAACAGTGGAGGATGATAAGAACATGTGGTCAGGTCAGTTAGCACATCATGACAATATGAAATGGAATGGAAAGGAAGGAATTTATCATGATGGCTGCCAGAGGAAACCGCATGGATCAATTTAACGTGTTATATTTCTAGCGATGAGGTGATCTATCTACATTAGTAACAATCCATCACTCCCTCCCCCCCCTTCTAACAACAGCGTTAGAATAGTTCAAAAAACAACATAAAGAACGAAAATTATAATAATAATCTCAGTACAATTCACACAGAGTCATCTAGACCCAAGTTAAGCTAGCTAAAGCTTGTGTTGTGGGTACTAGACAACTAATACAAATGCATAAATATTTTTTTTTGGTAAATACATACATATTATACATAAAAAACAACCAAACCGATACAAACAATCATACTCATGAATACAAATATTTGTGCCGTGCAAGGAATCGAACCTGCAACTATCAGGCATAAAACAGTGTGCTAGACCACCAACGATGTCATAGTCATTGAGGAAAATGTATTCAACCTACAAAGAAAACCATTGTCTTCTGTATATGGGATAATTAAAATAACTACAAAAATCTTTATCCTGAATGACACAGAAACAAAAATTAACCATCAATACTTATACCATAAACTGAGGAAAAACTTAGTCCTTATTCTTTTTTAATGCCCATATTATTATAAAAAAAAATTAATAACAACAACAAACAAAAATCATATAGGTATCTTGTAATTCAATATGCTTATAATTTGAATAAATATACCTAATTATTAATATTGAAAAACAATATTGTTATTATTATCATAGATTATTGGTATTATTATATGAGTATTAAAATACATTTGTTTACACAATTTCCTTAAAATGTTTTGAAAATGTATTAAATATATTATTCTGTATTATGTTGCAACATTTATGAACAATCACATGAATCATCTTTAAAAATAAATATTAGAGAAGCTCCCTCTTTATTATAGAATAGAATATGAAATCCTTTATTAAAATACACTTAAATTTAAACACTTTTGTCATACCAATATTTATTTATTAAAGCTTTATTGTCCATATACGAGTATTACTATTATAACTAATATTTTAAATTAAAATTAATTTATTTTCTTTATATATATGGTCCCATGTGGGTAAAAGCATCCTCCAGCTTGTTCCATTGTCCTCTATTCACAGCCACGCTCATCCAGTTTTCCACAACCACTTCTTTAATGTCATCACCATCTCTTTCTCTGTCGACCTACTCGCCTTTTTCCAATATACCAATAGTCATACCAATTTAATCTACCACTCATTTGGAAAGCTGTCTCATTACAAGAAAATGAGCAAGTATGTCTATTCATGTAGGTCTATTATTACTAGCTACCCGTCCCGGCTTCACACGGGTATACATGTATTATATATATATACAAACCTTCCTCTTGAATCACTCTATCTATTAAAAAAAAAACCGCTTCAAAATCCGTTGGGTAGTTTCAAAGATTTAAGCATACATAGGGAAAGACAGCGACAGCGACTGTTTTATACTATGTAATAATTCATAAACATTCATATATAAGGGCAGACGAAGGCCGAAAAAGAGATGGATGGACTGTGTGAAAGATGATATGGTGAGAAAGGGAGTAAATAACGAGATGACTGCGAACAGAGATGAAGGGAAGAGAAAAACATATTACGAAGACCACAAATAAATGGGACGTGTAGCTAATAGTACCTAGTATAAGTAGCCTATAAATTACAAAAAAGGGATTTATATCAGAAAAAAATAAATTAATATTAATCATAATGATTCCCTATAATAAAACATCATAACAAAATGTATGTTGCCCATATTGAGTCATTTAATATAACTTTAATAAAAATGACAATAATGGAATATTATCGGCTATCGGCTTCGCTCGCGTTAACTTATCCCCTTAGGGGTGGAATTTATCAAATCCTTTCTTAGGAGATGCCTACGTCATAGTAGCTTTATGCATGCAAAGTCACAGCCCGATCGGTTTAAAATTGACAAAGTTTCATACAAACTTCTATCCCTATTTTATTGGGAGTAGAATTAATCAAAATCCTTTCTTAGCGAATGCCGTCATAACATCTACCTGCGTGCCAAATTTCAGCCCGATCCGTCCAGTGGTTTAGGCTCTGCGTTGATAGATCATTATGTCAGTCACCTTTGAGTTATATATATTTAGATATATATATACAAAATCTTAATTTATCAAAATTTTTCATGACCTATTTTATATTACACACTGAACTGTAGTTAAATGTTTTTTTATCTGTCTTGAAAAGAGATTGGTATGGATCTATCATATCAATCTGTCTATCATATCTCTATACCTTAAACAAAAACATTATATAGATAAATACGATACTGTACTTTGAATGTGGTTATCGTTTTGTCCATATGTTTATTTAGCAGATATTTTTTTTAATGTTATAGAATGTAAACTTAAAATGTAAGGACAGCAAGGTTGAACAACAATGGTAAAGATCGCTGGAAGGCGTTGGATAGGGTAGTCGCAAGGTAGGACCGATCATCGTGGAGATTTTTAGGGGAGCCCTTAGTTCAGTAGTGGACGTCTTTTGGGCTGAAATGATAATGATGAAAATGTAAACAAACGGATGACTTAACTCATTGTACATATCACGTATAACAGTTTTATTTAATTAATGATAATGAATTGGACGGTAGGGAAAAAATTAAAATTATAATGTAAAAAATTTGACGATCATAAACGGCTAAAATGTCTTACATGAATAAATGATTTTTGAATTGAAAATGGAATGGTGCACGCGCCTGCCGCTAACGGCTTACGCAGGAGAGGCACAAGTGGAGGATGATAGGATGAGCATGAAGTCAGATCATTTAACACATGTGGTAAATAAGCATACATCACATCTGATGGTAAACTGTTACCGTAGCCTTTGGACGCCTGAAACATCAGGGATCTCATATGCGTTACCTTTAAGAAACTATTATACCATCGCACTACTCATCATCGACAGGGAATTCATCTCCTCACCCTGGACCCTCACCTATGTGGTCTCGAACAGTGGACTTTCAGAGGAACTACTTGCCCATGTTTTCTCTAGAGACGACAGTATGGGGTTTTTCAAGAAGGGTATAGGGTTTCTTAAGGTTTCTTAGGATGATGCCGCCAACGCTCACGTGAGGGGGGAAAGAGATTGTTAGTAATGTGGATTGATAACCCCATTGCTAGCAATGTAACATATCAGGTCGACCTCCGCGCGGTTCCCCCTGGAAACCATCGTGTTAAATTCCTGGTGAATTTGTCACGTTGGGCTAACTGACCTGACCTCATGCTCATCTTATCATCCTCCACTGGTGCCCCGCCAGCGTAAACCGTTAGCGCAGGCGGGTGTACCATTCCATTATCATCGACAAAAAAAAAAAACGCTCACGTGATACTCCTGGTGTTTCAGGCGTTCATAGGAAGCGGTAACCTTGTACCATCAGATATATGTTCCTGTATTGAGTTAGTTATATATATTAAAACCTTTCGGACTACTCTAAGGCCGCAGCTGGCCTTTACAGCTTCACCGGACCGTAGAGATGAGTGCAGATGGCACTCCAAACCCCCGAAAGGACTTATGACAAGAGCGGCTGAAATCCAAATTTCACCTGACGGATACGACTTTATTCTGAAGGCACCGCTAGAAGTCCGAAACTCGGTAGAGGCCGTCGTAATTTCGATCCCCAGTTGAATTGGACTGGGGATTGATCGGAGGGGCGTAACTTCTATGAGCCGTATGCTTGCTTCCCACCATCGTGCTATAAAAAATGTGCTAACGACGCCAGACTTCTGTAATGAACACTCCTGAAAGTGAATAAAGTATTTTATTACACATAATCGGGCATTACAAAGCGCCGTTACGCCTTAACGCACTAACGCATGCATTTCATTAAGTAATCATACTGTTTACTGGTGGATATACTATGTTCTTTGTATTGTGCAAGCGTTACTTACCAGTGGTCATCTAGTGGTCGAAATCCGACCATATTTAATTGAAATTGCTTGATTCAAAAGTAAAGGGACAAACTGTAAGACGGACGGTAAGAATTAACTGGAAAGATTTTTTTTTATACTACGATGGTGGCAATCAACCATACGGCCCATCTGATGGTAAATGGTTACCATAGCCTATGAACGCCTGAAACACTAGGAGTATCACTTGCGCGTTGCCGACCCTTAAGAAACCTTAATATACCCTTCTTGAAAAACCCCATACTGTAGTCTCGTGGGAAAACCTCGGCAGGAAGTTCATTCCACAATCTAAGTGTACGCGGGAGGAAACTCCTCTGAAACCGCACTGTTCGGGACCACTTAAGTATAATAAGGAATGAAGAAATACTTGAAAGGGTTAAAGAAAGGAGACAGATCGTAAATATTATTGAGAATATGCGGGGGGAAATGTTGGGGCACTTGATACGACACGACGAACTTGTGAATAATATTATCGAAAGGACAATAGTTAGAAAGAGCGGAATATATATCAAGCAAGGAAAACGTTGGATTGGTCCTATCACCAAAAAAGATTGAAAGCAACTTATTTAAATTATGCTACAACTTTCTCTTTATCAATATGAAAACAAAGTTATGTATACAAATACAATTATCTTTATTTTGCCTGAAAACTGTGTTACAGGATTAAAAAAAATTATAATTTATGTATCACACTTTTCACCAGAAACTGGCATGCAAAAATTAACATTGTCCATTTATATATAATAATAAATGGACACTGTTAATTTTTATGTGTGAGTATACATATTTCTCAGTTTCATTTTTATACAATAGTAATATATGTCATGATTTGCTGTACGTACTGCCTTCATAATGGAATAAAATGTGGGTAGTTGCCGCTATCGTAAGAAAGGTAATAGAGGGCGCCACTATGTTATGCCGTGTAGATAGCAGCGCCATATTCTCCAGACTACCTTTCTAGAATGAATACCTGTGCCTGTGGCTACTCTATGGCATGCCATGTCACATTGGTGGTGGGGCAATAGCGACTACTGGGGAGAGAATTCATTTGAGAGGACACTTAGGTCTTGATAGTCGAGTAGTGAACAACTAAGTAGTACCATTTACAGTTAATATAATATATACAAATATAAATGTAATATAAAAATTTTGAAATTATATATATATATACAGTTATAAATTTATTGTTATTTAACTACCTTGATGGTTTAGCGGTTTAGCACACCGCTTTACTTCCGATGGTCGCGGGTTCGATCCCTCTGTATTCTGCTGTGTTTTCTATGTATATTATGTATGTATTTACAAAAAAAAACTAAGTATTTATATCAGTTGTCAAGTACCTATAACACAAGCTCTGCTTACCGTGGGACTAAAGTGTGAATTGTCCTGAGATATTATGTAGGATCTCCGAATTTATGATCAGTTCTTTCTTTTTTATTGTTTTAATATTTATTTAGTTATAAAAATATTGGTTTTACGCATCTTTTAGTGGTTTTATTACAAGTATTAAGTGGTTAATCTTATCATTATCTCGAGAGGGAGACTAATATTGACACTGAGTTATTGTTATTTATCTATACGGTAGCGATGTTATGGGGACTGTAATACTTGTTATATTTCATACAGTACAGTAATAATTTATATCAACATGATAAATTGCATTGAGGCAATACATTTTTTATTTATAACTAGCTGTTCCCACGACTTCGCGTGGAATATTTCTAAAATAAAAAAAAAATCTAAAATAAAAGTAGCCTAACTTACTCCTTATTACAACAGCTACCTGCCAATAAAAATCCCGTCAAAATTGGTCGAAAAAGAGATGGATGGACTGTGTGAAAGATGATATGGTAAGAAAGGAAGTAAATAACGAGATGACTGCGAACATTTATTGTACAATTTTTGTCTGTCAGTCTGTCAGTCTGTCTGTTCGTTCTGGCTAATCTCTGAAATGGTTGGCCAGAACGAACAGACAGACTGACAGACAAAAATTGTACAAAATGTTATTTCAGTGTATGTACCGTATTTATATTTATATGCCTGTAGTAAAAAACGGTAATTTCAATATTACAAACAGACACTCCAATTTTATTTATATGTATAGACTAGCTGATACCTCTATCCGCGATCCCATTTAGCCAAATAAAAATCTCTATTTAAAAATAGGGACTGTTGGTAGAAGAGTGTAATTTGGGGTTGTTTGTATTTCTAATGCCACATGCATTAGAAATACAAACAAAACAACGAAATTTTCAACCTGACATGGTACATTGTTGCCAATGGGGTTATCATCATCTGCTTCTTCCTTATCCCATTTATTTGTGGTCTTCGTAATATGTTTTTCTCTTCCATTAATCTCTGGCAGTCATCTCGTTATTTACTCCCTTTCTCACCATATCATCTTTCACACAGTCCATCCATCTCTTTTTCGGTCTTCCTCTACCCTTATAACCATCCACATTCATATGTAACACCTTCATTAAAATAATGATCTTCATTCCTACGCATTACATGTCCATATCATGATAGACGATTACTCTGCAACCTCTCCGACATCGGCGCCACTTTCATACTTCCTCTGATGTATTCATTCTTTATTTTATCCATTCTTGTCACCACCATACATCCATGGGGTTATCAATCCACATTAATAACAACTCCTTCCCTCTCTTTTCTGGAGAGACTACAGCATGAGCTTTATCAAGAAGGGTATCTTAACTGCAACACACAAATGACACACCTGGAGTTTCAGGCGTCCATAGGCTACGGTAACCGTTTACCATTAGTATAAAACAAAGTCGCTGTCGCTGTCTGTCCGTCCCTATGTATGCTTAAATCTTTAAAACTATGCAACGGATTTTGAATCGGTTTTTTAACAGATAGAGTGATTCAAGTGGAAGGTTTATGATATAATACATGTAGCTATATCTAGTAGGGTAGCTAGTAGTATTATAGAATATAATAGAATAGAATAGAAAATCATTTATTCAAATAAACTTAATTTAAGCACTTTTGAATAGTCATAACAATTTGTTTTTTATCTACCACTCGTTCGGAAAGCTGTCTCATCACAAGAAGAACGAGCAAGAAACTTGTGTGTTGCTCTTTTAAATAATCCTTATAAAATAATATAAAAAAACTAAACGTGTTTTTTTATTACAGGTGTGGGGAAGACCAGCCTTGTAGTGAGGTATATAGGAAAGATGTTCTCCAAACACATCTCGCCAACGATCGGTGCCTCCTTCTTTACTTGCAACATCAACGTAGACGATGCCAGGGTCAAACTGCAGGTAAATAATAATAATAATCTCAGGACAATTCACACAGCGTCATCTAGTCCCTAGTTAAGCTAAAGCTTGTGTTACGGGTACTAGATAACTAATACAAGTACATAGTTTTTTTTTTCGTAAATACATACATATTATACATAATAGGTAATCGTGGGTTCGATTCCTCGCACGGCACTAACATGAGATCATGAGATCATACTCATGTTTATATCGGTCTGGATATTTTCTGTCTAATACGAATTTATATACAAAAAAAAATGTATTTGTATCAATTATCTAGTACCCATAACACAAGCTTTAGCCAGCTTAATTTTGGTCTAGATGGCGGTGTGTTCTTACATTATTAAATTATATATTTGACTTCATATTTATTTTATAGACACGCACACACAGGACTGGTATAGGTCTATAAAACTTATAATATGTAAGAAGCATTGGTAATTGCAATGATAATGATTATTATTATATTTACAGGTATGGGACACAGCAGGCCAGGAGCGGTTTCGATCAATGGCCCCCATGTACTATAGGAACGCTAATGCAGCCCTACTGGTATTCGACATCACCAACATACACAGCTTCACAGCTATCAAGGGATGGGTCAGAGAACTGCACAGGTTAGTAGAACTCGTCATTACATCAATGAGATTACATGAATTCTCAATACAATAACAGTGTAAATTCTCAATGAAATGAGAATATAGATTCTTAGAAGCCATATCTCAGAATTATGAAATTATATGAATGCAATGAAAATAATTAAATTATGAGAACAATTAAATTATGAATATAATTAGAATCATTCATTTATATAAATGCAACGACAATAATTAAATTATGAAAACAATGAGAATCATTAAATTATAAATAAAATGAGAATACATGAATTCTCAATACAATAACAATGTAAGTTCTCAATGAAATGAGAATATAGATTCTTAGAAGCCATATCTCAGAATCATTAAATTATAAATACAATGAGAATACATGAATTCTCAATATATTAACAATGTAAATTCTCAATGAAATGAGAATAGAGATTCTTAGAAGCCATATCTCAGAATCTTTAAATTATAAATACAATGAGAATACATGAATTCTCAATATAATAACAATGTAAATTCTCAATGAAATAGGAATATAGATTCTTAGAAGCCATCCATATGAAGGGCCCTCCCCTCCTGCGAATGACGTGCTATATGGATGGCCTACGTATTTCGTTTTTAGCGTCATACATAGAAGTGTTGAGTGTGAAATGCTCAGTAGTTCGTGGAGTGGCAACGCATACGTTATATCACGGGCATCACATAATGACGTAAGGGTCATGATGTTCATGTATATAGGCGACGGCTACCACTTACCATCAAGTGAACCGTCAGTTTGTTTGCCGTTTCTCACAAAAAAACATTGTAAATTCACAGCAATGTACCAGAACCGATGGTGCTGTCAATGGTGGGTAATAAATGCGATTTGGAAGAAAGACGGGAGGTCTCCCACCACGAGGCGACACAGTATGCGGCATCCATCGGTGCACATTACTGCGAGACATCAGCTTTGCATGACCAGGTATGTACTAGTCATTTTTTTTATACTACTATGGTCGCAAACAAGCATACGGCCCGTCTGATGGTAAATGGTTACCAAAGCCTAAGGACGCCTGAAACACCAGGGATTAGTCTACTAGTCTTTTTATATACTACTATGGTGACAAACAAGCATACGGCCCGTCTGATGGTAAATGGTTACCGTAGCCTAAGGATGCCTGAAACACCAGGGATTAGTCTACTAGTCTTTTTTATATACTACTATGGTGGCAAACAAGCATACGGCCCGTCTGATGGTAAATGGTTACCATAGCCTAAGGACGCCTGAAACACCAGGGATTAGTCTACTAGTCTTTTTTATATACTACTATGGTGACAAACAAGTATACGGCCCGTCTTATGGTAAATGGTCGCATGTGTTGCTTTGCTTTCTTGCTGTGGGCAAGGAGATTGATAGCAATGTTAGACTAATAACCCCAATGTTAACAATGTACCATGTTAGGTGTACCTCATGCGGTTCCCTCTGAATACTATATTATAGAATAGAATAGAAAATCATTTATTAAAAAAAAACTTAATTTAAGAACTTTAGAATAGTCATAAATTTTTTTTTTAATCTACCGCTCATTCGGAAAGCTGTCTCATCACAAGAAGAACGAGCAAGAAAATTGTGTGTTTATAAGATGAGAATGAGGTCAGGTAAGTTAGATTCGCTCAACCAGTTGGTTGTATGTTTAATAATTTCTCTATTTGAGTATTTCATTGAACTAGTTCTAGTTGGTAGTTTGTATTCACATACTTAATCTTAAAAATGTAAAGTAACAACAAACACATATGCGTGAGTTTTATTGTAATAGTTTTTTCGTGAAAGTGTAACAAACTTTCAAATTCAAAAATCATTTATGCATGTAGGACATTTTAGCTGCTTATGAACGTCAAATTTGTACATTATAATTTTTTTTTCTGTACCGTCCAGTTCGATATACAGATCCAATTGAGAAGAACTGGCAAGAAACTCAATTGAATTACTTTTTTTTTAATGAACAACTATTGCCATGCACGCTCGTCATTCAAGTAATCGTTTAGTGAGTAATAGGCTTTGCTCAGTAAATATCATTTAACAGATGTTTTGAATTTATTTAAGGGTAATTCCAATATATCCTTTGGTATCTTATTGTAAATTTTTATACCTATTCCCATAAAATACCTATTGACTTTTTCTAAACGATACTTGGGAACTGTAAACATGCATGCTCACAAACTTTCCAAAACACAAGTTTATTGTAATTGTCGTTTAAATATCTACCAAAGAAATACGATTTAATTTCATATACTGAAATATATAATAAAGTTTAGACTGTTCTAGATATTACTAATCTGTTTATCAATATCATTTGAATAATCTTATCAACGATAAATTACGTCCGATCAGATTGGAAAACGCACAGCAAGGCCGTACGTCGACATGCACTATATGATATACAATAAATTCGCGAAGCAATGTACAGTACATTACGTATTGATCATCGTCATCTGCTTCTTCCTTATCACATTTATTTGTGGTCGTCGTAATATGTTTTTCGCTTCCATTCATCCCTGTTTCGCAGTCATCTCGTTATTTACTCCTTTATACTACTACTACTACTATTTACTACCATGTCACCTTTCACACAGTCCATCCATCTCTTTTTCGGTCTTCGTATTAATAAACATCTATTTAGAAGAGCAACACACAAGTTTCTTGCTCTTTCTTGCAGAATAAAAAATATGACTATTCAAAAGTGCTTGTATTGGGTTTATTTGAATAAAGATTATTTCTATTTCTTTCTTTTGGTCAAGGTTACTATTCCAGACGTGCGAAGTCACGGGCACAGTTTGTGTTTAATATTTTCTTTTATTTTAATATATGTTTTTTTAATTACAGAGACTCTGACATTATTTTTTTTACTTCATTCCAGGGTATCGACCAGGTGTTCCGCAGCACTGCGACAGCTCTCCTGAAGATGTCCAGCTCCAGTCCAATGTCCTCGCTGCGCACATACGACACGGCGGATGGTGAGCCTGACCTACTACTACCTTTTGGTAACCCCGCCCTCTATCTCCTGCTGTGTGCTTCTGTCCTTCTATATACTTCTGCTACCCGCTGTATACTTCTTTATACTTCTCTTTTTATTTTTTGTTAATATTTATTATTTGATATAAGTTGCAATGACATATAAATGTGAATAATAATGGAATGGTGCAGCTATTTGCGCTAACGGTTTACGCTGGCGGGGCACCAGTGGAAGATGATAAGATGAGCATGAGGTCAGTACAATTAGCCCATCGTGACAAATTCACCAAGAATTTATTACGATAGGTTCCAGGGGAACGGTGTAGAGGTCAACCTGACATGGTACATTGATAGCAACAGTCCACATTACTGATAATTCTCTTTCCCAAGAGTCAGGTCAGTTAGCACCTGGCGAATTCACTAAGAATTAACTACGATGGCTTCCAAGACAAGTTGTCAGTTCTTCTCAATTGAATGTGTATACTAAACTGGACGCTAGGGAAAAATTATAATAAAAAAATTAACATTCATAAGCGGCTAAAATGTCATGAATAAACTATTTTTTAATTTGAATTTAGTACATAATATACATAGAAAACACCCAGGCCTGTACAAATAATTATAATCATGAATGCAAATGCTTGTGCCGAGGCATCCAACCCGCGACCTTTTGGTGTAAATGTGCTAAATTGCTAGACCACCTAGTGTAATGTAATGTAATATAGACTCTATTCTCTTTCTCCTCTCATTTGGGCCGTTGTCCGTATAGAGCAGTGACTACTAAAGCAACCAGTCAAGCTCCTCCCAGAAGCGCAGATGAGGTGTCTTCACAGGCTTCGCGATCTCGACCACGTAGTCTAATAAAGAATTTATTATTTCAGGTAATCCAAGTGAAGAGATGGCCACACATACTGGTAAAGTGGAATTACCAGCTTGGAGTATAGGGAATATAGCGCACGGGGAAATGCAGAAGAATATGTGTTGCTGATGTCTGCCGGCAGGTGGCGCCTGTTCTCATATTCCAAAATATTCAAAATATCTTTATTCATGTAGGTCTATTACAGACTCTTACGATATGTCAAATCTACCGTCAGTTCAGATAATTCAAATTCAAAATATCTTTATTCATGTAGGTCTATTACAGACTCTTATGATATGTCAAATCTACCGTCAGTTCAGATAATTCAAATTCAAAATATCTTTATTCATGTAGGTCTATTCAGACTCTTATGATATGTCAAATCTACCGTCAGTTCAGATAATTCAAATTCAAAATATCTTTATTCATGTAGGTCTATTACAGACTCTTATGATATGTCAAATCTACCGTCAGTTCAGATAATTCAAATTCAAAATATCTTTATTCATGTAGGTCTATTACAGACTCTTATGATATGTCAAATCTACCGTCAGTTCGGAATGATATCGAGATGAGAAGAGCTCACAAGAAACTCAGCTCGTAATCTTTTCAAATTAATATTTATATACATATCTAAATCATTGCTACAAAATTAGTACATAACTGAAACTATCGGATATCGGATATAAAAAATATCCGTAACCGAAATAAAAGTTTCGGATAATATCGGATAGGTACGGAGCCTAATTGAGACACGTTATGTAAACATTTTTTTTAGCTAATTGTATTTTACTTTTGACATTACTTAAAAAAATTAATAACCGAAATATCCGAAACTAAATAATAATCCGTAATAATTTCATATCCGTATCGGTATCTGATATAATAATCATAATATACAATATATATTATATTATATTACATATATATATTATATTATATTACATATATATACTATATTATATTACATATATATATTATATATTATAAACATCTCTGCTACAAACTGAGTTTAAACTTAGGTCATAGTGTTTTGTCTCCTTTTTTTCAAATGAAGAAAATTTCCTTTCGTCCTTTTTTCAAAGGACAAAACGGTATTGTACTCGTTTTGAGTCAAAACCTCCAGTATATATATATATATATATATACTTTACTATATGTAATTTTAATTGAACTTTACAATAATATTTTTTTTCCTGAAAGAGTAACAAACATCCATTAATTCATACATACTCACAAAGTTCCACGTTTATAATATTAGTGAGATGTTTACTAAAAGCGGAATTTTAATATTTTCTTAGGTTGTTACCAGATTTATTCGCTAGAGGTAGTGACTTGTGCATATTTAGCACAAGTCACTACCTCTAGAGGTAGTAATAGAGGTAGTCTCGCTAGGTAGTGACTTGTGCATATTTAGCACAAGTCACTACCTCTAGAGGTAGTAGTAGAGGTAGTCTCGCTAGGTAGTGACTTGTGCATATTTAGCACAAGTCACTACCTCTAGAGGTAGTCTCGCTAGGTAGTGACTTGCGCATATTTAGCACAAGTCACTACCTCTAGCGAATAAAGACTCAAGCTCAAGACTATAATCCGAAATGGGATAGTCAATTCTTATGTATTTCATATTATTAAATTAATTATTAGTAATAAATATTGCATTCCACATGTAATGCACCTTTCTGTGTCGGTAAAAGATACGTACGGTTTAAATAAAAAAACCGTGGTTTAATTATGTAACACTAGCTGTGCCTGCGCTTTCACTCGTGTGAAATTTATAACCTATATGTTATTCTGATGTATAAGCTATGTTATTGTAAAATATAATTAAAATCCACTCAGTAATTTCTGCGTGAAAGAGCAACGTCCATATATCCATCCATAATCAGAATCATACGCGTTTATAATATTTGAAAGATTGTATTAAGTTTGATGCGGTCATTATTTATAAGTATAATTAGTAAATCACGGGATCTTACCACGTTTTATTTTTGTTGAGTTACCGAAATTTCAGCAATGTTTCAATCGCCATGATCAGGGGCAAACTGGTTCAGTTTACCCGCGATCATGGCGGGCGAAAATATATAATAAAATCCCGTGATTTACTAATTATAATTAATAAGATTGTTATTAACAATTGTCGTTTGAATCAGATTGTGTTTGGGAAACTACTCTCTGCTACCAAAATGTTAGGGAATTTACTATGTCTGTCACGTACCTGTATGGTTCTGCGGATTTCTTGGGCTTCAGGGTCTCGAAGGTATCTTCGCTAGCTTTCCAGTTTCACAGTAGGTTTCACAGTTCTAATTTATTTTAATTCACAACAAATGCGCGCGCGCGTCAAGGCCGCTGTACGGTCCGTTTGTTATTAGGTAAGGGAGGGGAGGCAAAGACGCGGGAACACAAACTAACGGACTCTAATATAATAATCTGTGCTTACGATGTTACAGGGTAGATTTTGAACAGATTGGAATTATCAATTTTGTAATTCAGTGATTAATAAAGGTTAATTTTGTATATAAAATTTAGTAGATGCTAAACAAAGGACAGCTTCCTTTGTTTACGGGTATAAAATGGCGTACAGCTATTACGATGACTAACAACTGTCATCTAGCGGTTTTGGCACACCGTCTTACGCGGTGTTAGGTTCGATGCCTCGCACGATACAAACATTAATATTCATAAGTATGATTGTTTGTATCAGTCTGGGTGTTCTCTATATATTTATGTACTTACAAAATATCTGTAGTGATATCAGTTATCAGTACCCATAACACAAGCTCTGCTTACCGTGGGACTAGATGGCGCTGTGTTAATTGTCCAGGGTTATTTATTTATTATACCAAGTAAACCGTTAACCTACCGAGGTCGTACTATGAAATGACAGTGTTGTATAATTAACCTTTCGAATGTCTGTGGTCTATCGACCGAAAGTGAAGAGGCGGTATGCGCGCGCCGTATTTTTTCAAATGCGTTTCAATCTTATTTTGTTTTAAATAAGGACTAAATTGGTTAAAAAGAAGTCACGGTTTTGCGGGCTCAGATATGTGACAAGACTGTAATACGGTTTAAGAGGGGCGCACAGATATGTGTCAAAACGTTCGAAGGATTAAACATCAAGTAAAGCAAGCGCTTTGAAGGCAAAAGATATATATAAGTGTATATTTTTTATACAATATATTACTTTTTTAAAGGTTTATTCTTACTTATATTATACAAATATTAAATAGTTGTTTAGTGGTTAAATTAAAACAATTATAACTGATCTAAATAATCGATTAAGTATTATCGAGTACAAATCATTCGATATCGAATAAAAAATTACTCTCTGGGACCATACATAAACTATGGCACATGATAAAGGAGGAAAAGCATATCTAATCCATATTGCATAACAAGGGGTTTTTTAATAGAAGATAATGGTATGGTGCACCCGCCTGCGCTAACGGTATACGCTAGCGGGGCACCAGTCGAGGATAAGATGAGCATGAGGCCAGATCAGTTAGCTCATCGTGGTAAATTCACCAGGAATTTGTCATAATGTTTTCTAGGCGACATGTGTGGAGGTCAACATGACAGGGTATATTGCTAGCAATGGGGTCATCAGTCCACATTACTACCAATTCCCTTCCCCCAAAACTAGCGGTTGAAGGTGTCAAAATTAGTCTTAGATATTGTGACATGTTTCACTTTTACTTTTAAGACACGTAATTTTATATAATTAAATGTGACCAGGTGTGACAAGAATCAAGAGAAAAAAGATCCCCTCTTGTCACCGTTGATCAATAATTTAATTTTAATTTAAGTATTAAGACACGTAATTTTAAATAATTAAAATGTGACAAGATTCCCTTTTGTCACAGCTGATCAATAATTTAATTTTTGTGACTTTATGGATGGACCCTAATTGATAAACTATATTATAAACCCTGAGTATGTATGTAGGGACCAATGAATGTCAATTATTGTATGTACAGATAGTAAATTAGTAATATACAGTCAAAAATAAGTATGAATTTAGACTTTGCCGATCAAAGATTAGAACGTATATTGTAGTGAAACTACAAACATACTAAACACTAAAAGACTAATGAAACTTTTATATTTTCTTAGAACGAGGACCCTCTTGTCACAGTTGATCATCATTTAATTTCAATTTGAGTATTAAGACACGTAATTTTAAATAATTAAAATGTGACAAGATCTCCCCTCTTGTCACAGCTGATCAATAATTTAATTTGTGTGACCTTGTTTTTATGGATGGTCCCTAATTGATAAACTATATTATGAACCCTGAGTATGTATGTAGGGACCAATGAAAGTAAATTATTATATGTACAGATTGTAAATTGGTAATATACAGCCGAGTTGAAGTAAGAATTTAGACTTTGACAATCAGAGATTAGTATATATTATATGTATTGAAACTACAAATATACTAAAAACTAAAATATTACTGAAATTTTTATATTTTCATTAAAAATACAGTTTTTTTTTCGGACTACTCAAACGCTTGACCGCAGCTGGCCTTTACAGCTTCACCGGACGATAGAAGGCAAGTGCAACCAGCAAAAGGACTTATGGAACGGCTGAAAGCCAACTCCCGCCTGACGGATACGACTTTAGTCTGAGGGCACCGCTCGGGGTTCAACCTCAGCTCAGCCCATCGTAATTTTTTTTTAATTTTCTTGTCTGTGGTTTATGACTACATGCATTTGTTTTTATATTTCTTAGCACTACAACTATACAGCGATATACGATAACAACGGTTCACTCTTAAAATTGTCAAAATTATTATATAGATGTATTATAATTGACTATTAATATTATTATTTAATAATAATAAACAATCAATGCTTGTTTAAAATATTATTGTTTTTTATGAAAAGACAAATTACAGATTTATATGTATAAGTATTTTTATATTTTATGACGAATTGAATTAATAAAAATGTATGTTTTTAATATAATACGAGTATGTTTCAAACATTGAATAATGGAATGGTGCACCCGTCTGCGCTGGCGGGCACCAGTGGAGGATGATGGGCATGAGGTCAGGTCAGTTACAGTTCAGCACATCATGGTAAATTCTCAGGGATTTAACCTCGATACTTTCCAGGGGGATTAAATCTCGCCCTAATACATTGCTCATAATGAAACCACAAATCCCAATTACCAAATCACCTTTATTTTCTTCTTCCAAGTATTAGAATAACGGTCTCCAATGTTTTATAAATCAAGGGCCATAAAAAAAAAAATCTGTTCAGCGGGCCGCTGGGTTTTTTTATAAGGATTTATTTATTTTATATTAAAGGTACTTTTTAGTACTTAATTGTTGTCGTTACTGAGAGTGGGCCTATGCTGTTGGCGGGCCGTAGAAAACACATCGGCGGGCCGTGAGTTAAAAGACTTTTGTATTCGAGAATCACTTTCCAAATTACATCTCGAACGGATACTGCAATTTTGACCATTTTATGAATTACTGAAATAAATATCTACATAGTATAAAACAAAGTGGCCAACGCTGTCTATTCACTTATAGCAAGGGATTTTAATGCAGTTTTCAGCAATAGATAGAGTGATTCAAGAGGAAGGTTTATATGTATAATACATGAGTGGTAAAGTCTATACTTCCAAGCCGAAAAATTCAAAGTTTTAGACGCAATAAAATAGCTAAACTAAAAAAATGGAAAATGAACTTTAACGTTAGAAGTTTTAAGGCGATTTTTATAAAATATATTTTTGTAGTTAATGCATCTTATTACTAAGCTTGCGACATTGTTAACTTAAATATTTATATTGAATGTTGAAGTTTGATAATGTGATATTATATTTAATTAAACAATTTTTATACATATACTAATGTGTTGTTATTTCGCAGCCATTTAATATTGGACTAGCTGACTCCCGCAACTTCGTCTGCATCACAGTTGACATTTATCATTATATTTCGCCCAATTTACATAATATCTTTTTAAATTATAGTATATGTGTTATTCTGATGTATAAGCTATGTTTCTATATAAAGTTTCATCAATATCCGTTTAGTAGTTTTTACGTGAAAGAGTAACAAACATCCATCCATATTCACAAACTTTCGCGTTTATAATATTAGTAAGATTTCAACCGACTCCAAAAATGACCTTATTTTATAGGCTTACTAGCTTTTACCCGCGGCTTCTCTCGCATAACTTCATTACTTGCTGCTAGATGGCACTGAAGTAGCAAAATATTGATATTGTATTTTTTTGTTATTTATAAAAAGTATCCTATGTTCATTCTAATACCTCCAAGGATATGTGTACAAAATGTGATGATGATCAGTTCAGTAGTTTTTGCGTGAATGCGTAACAAACATTCCAACTTTCACATTTATAACATTTGTGCATCAATATTAACTGTTTATGCCGGCCTGACCAGTGGTGAGTGATAGGATGAGCACGAGGTAAGAACAGGTAACCGTTATTTAAATTATTAAATAAATGTATAGAGAGAGGTAAATACCTTTATTTACCATAAAATTATTCGTGTTAAGACCCGGTTAATAATTTAAATAATGTATATTAAACACGAAAGTTTAACAGGTAACCGTTCCCAGGAATTAACCACGATGGTGTATAGCAGGAACCGCATGGAGGTCGGCCTGTTATCCTACACTGCTATGGGGTCCAATTCCCCATTACTTACAACCCCTTACCTGTTTGTTATATAAATATAATAAAACACACTTAGTAAAAACAACAATTTAATATAGAAACAATAAAATCACACAATATTCACAACTTGTATAACACAATGTCTTTAAAACTATTGTCATATTTGCTTATCATATTCATATATATGTCATATTACATATGTCTCTCGTTACTATATATATTATAATCTTTATGACCAAAAAACATTTTATGGAAATCGCACATGTATACTTACACAAACAATTTCAATGTGGATAAAATGTTTATCCACCACTAGCAAATACTGTCAAAAATCTCGCCATTAAAACTCAAATACATAAAAAATAGCTAAACCTATTGAAAATAAAAAAACAGACTCAACTCAACATAAAAAGAACGAGGAAGAAACGAATGCCAGTTTTAATTCTCTTAGAGAACGCCCCCATACTACGTGATCCATATTTTACAAATTACCACTCGATCAACTTATATCTCAGTACAACTCACACAGCGCCATCTAGTCCCAAGCTAAGCAGAACTCGTATTATGGGTACTAGACAACTGATAGAATTACGTAGATGTTTTTTTAATACATATATATAGAAAACATTGACAAAGTGTGACGTAGTGTGACATGGGGGTAGGAGAAGTCACAAAGTAAGTTACGTCACATTTAATTGTGAAGTACCTCCCTAATATAAGTCTATGGTTGTGTTGAGTCTGTACCCATTATAATAACTTACTGGCTTTAACAGAAAAGAAATATCGTGTAAGTGCACCTTAAGACGCTATATGTATTGTGAATGAACAGTCTTTAAATTACTTCTCAATTTATTACATCACGCAAATTGGCATTTTATCTTACATTTTGAGTTCATACATATTTAATATACATTAATATATGCTTATAAGTTTTGAGCAATTTCATTAACAAACCGTAAAGGGGCCATCCATAAATTAATCACATGTAAAGGGGACGTTGACAAAGTGTGACGTAGTGTGACATTGGGGTAATGAAGTACCTCCCCATAAAGAATCTAGGTCTAAGGTTTAACGTGATGACGTCAATTATGTGACACCAATTTAAATTAAAGAGGTAATAAGTGATATGCGTTTAGATACTTTAATATAGCAGGGTGTACATAAAAATAATAGACAAAAAGAACACTTCTATTTTAAATATGAATAAAGGATTATATAAAATTACCAGTGAAGTCTAACAAGAGTTTTTTACCAGGACGTCACGTAAATAACAAAACAGGAATTTTGAAATATTAACGAAAAGTTCAAATTTATACATGTGACATAAATGTGACCAACTGTGACATGGACAAAAATCGTGTGAGGAAATTTATGGATGACCCCAAAAGGCGAATACTGGACATTGCTGACGACGCCTGATGGTCTACTCTTGGAAACTAAATCCAATCAAATGACAATCATTACATAGTATAAAACAAAGTCGCGGTCGCCGTCTGTCCCTATATATGCTTAAATCATTAAAACTATGCAACCGATTTTGAAGCGGTTTTTTTTAATAGAGGGATTCAAGAGGAAGGTTTATATGTATAATACATGTACACCCGTGCGAAGCTGGGGTGTATAGCTAGTTAATATTGGAAGACCATTAAAATATTATTTATAACTAACTGTTGTCCGCGACTACGTCGGCATTTTATTTCAGGCCATTCCTGATTAGCTATTAAAAGAACATTCCGCTACCATTAGCATGTGTGAGACCACAAATATTCAATGCGGAAACCTGACCACCGCTACTGGAAGCGTTACGACCTTCTATTGTAAAATGAATGAATGAATGAAACTCTTTATTATTCCTCTCACAGAAAATACATTTACATACACAATTTTGTATAAAAAGATAAAAAAAAAACAATAAAAAAGACAAAGAGGTAACAATGGGCGGCCTTAAGGCTTTGGTGATCAAATTCTGAACGTTATTGAGTTTACACTCATATTCATCACCAATAGAGAAGGTCATAACGCTTCCAGCAGTGGTCAGATTCCGCACTCGCACACGCTAATAGTGCCAAAATAAGATAATATATATCCATAGCTTAATTTATGTATATCACGTTATCATTATATCATAAACTAAATAAGACTAAAACGGAAAATAAATCTATTTGGTCCCAAAAGACGCGCATCCTAAAACAGAATTGTTTAATGCAATCTTTAACGATTGCGCGCGGTCGTTGTCGCGAGTAAAAGATCGTGTTGTGTAAAGATATATGTATCTATAGTTTATTTTTTAATCCCAGACACTAAATTGACAGGTGTAAATGTCAAATTTTCAAATAATGTTACCACCTGTAACGGAGTAGTGGTGTACCTGCGATACCGATTTGTTTAATCGGAAACTTTTATTTTAACATATCAGTTTTAAAGCGTTACATGCTTCCGCAAGACTTTCATAATTTACGTACATATACTAGTGTTTCCATTACTGTCGTTGTATTAACATTAAATTACATTTTTGTAGTTTTCCGTACATATAGTAATTTTTTTACAGTATGAAGCTAGAAACCAACATTTTTTTCTTTCAAACAACAAAATATTTTACATAGATCTATGTTTTATGACATATGACACCATAAGAAGGTCATTTGTTTTATTAAGAAGACACTCTTTATTTTAGTAATTAATAAAATAACCTATTTTGATACACCAACTATATATTAATTAATAGTTTATTAATTTTATGTTAATGCATTTTAAACAAACACTCACACATTAATTCTGAGTAACCAATAAAAATGGGTGATTAATATTAATTTCCGATAGTGCTACAACCCTGGCAACATTGGTAATGTCAAATTTGTCTCCGGGATTAAAAAACAGACTACACATTCTATTTTTTCAAGTGTGGGGGAGTAGGGTGGCGACGTTTACAACTCATCTTTAGGGTCCAACACTTCTTCATCTTGGCCATCATCAGGGATGGTCTCGATGTCATCATCGTCTTCGAATGCTTCTGGTGGCGGCTGGGGCAGACCTCCGAAACCGTATGGATCAGGACCGTGGACCTAGAAATGTAAATTCATAATAGAATAGAATAGAAAATCATTTATTCAAATAAACTTAATTTAAGCACTTTTGAATAGTCATAACATTTTTTTTTAATCTACCGCTCATTTGGAAAGCTGTCTTATCACAAGAAGAACGAGCAAGAAACTTGTGTGTTGCTCTTTTAAATAATACTTGTAAGTTCACATTTTACAAGTCGAAATGTGTACTATTGTAAGATTACAGTTATTTACTAGCTGCACCCGCGACCTCGTCCGCTTAAAATTTAACTTTATTTTTCTAAAATAAAAGAAGCCCAAATTACTCCTTATTACATCAGCTACCTGCCAATAAAAGTCCCGTCAAAATCTGTTCAGCAATTTCAGAGATTACCCGGAACAAACAGACAGACAGACAAAAATGGTAAAAAATGTATTTTGGTGTATGTACCGTATTTATATTCATATGCATGTAGTAAAAAACGGTTATTTCAATATTACAAACAGACACTCCAATTTTATTTATATGCTGCTGTCAACATCGTGATTGCTGTGCTGTGATGTGTGATGTAAGAAAGTGTTATTCTATTCTGAACTAGCATAAAAATAAATTGTTATTTTCATTTCCCGGCCGTGACCTACGTAAGTTGTCTGCAAAATCAATGCATTATTTTGCATCTTTGTTGATATAAATACCTTGACATATTCCCTCTCCATCTCTTCTGTCCACGTGGTATCTTCTTCGTTGGGCAGCATCCATTCCTCGCAGTATTCAGCGTGGTTGAAACAAATCTGAAATGTTGGGGGGTAGGGGGTTGTTAGTAATGTGGACTGATGACCCATTGCTAGTAATGCACCATGGCAGGTTGACCTCCACGCGGTTCCTCCCGGAAACCATCATGACAAATTTCTGGTGAATTTGTCATTATGTGCTAACTGACCTGACCTCATGCTCATCTTATCATCCTCCACTGGTGCCCCGCCAGCGTAAACCGTTAGCACAGGCGGGTGCACCGGTGGTCTAGTGGTTTAATACACCGCTTTATTTCCCATGGTTGCAGGTTCGATTCCTCGCACGGTGTAAACAATCATGAGTATGATTGTTTGTATCGCTCTTGGTGTTTTCTATATATGTTCTGTATTTACAACAAAAAAAAAAATATATTAGTTGTCTAGTGCTCATAACACATGCTCTGCTCACCATGGGACTAGGTGGCGCTGTGTTAATTGTCCAGGGTTATTTATTTATTTATATCAGATGTCTAGTACCCATAACACAAGCTCTGCGCACCGTGGGTCTAGATGGCGCTGTGTTAATTGTCCAGGGTTATTTATTTATTTATATCAGATGTCTAGTACCCATAACACAAGCTCTGCGCACCGTGGGTCTAGATGGCGCTGTGTTAATTGTCCAGGGTTATTTATTTATTACACTACAGTACTAACCTCCCTCTCAGCGTCCGGCATGACGTCATCTTCTGGCCTGTTCTTGTACAGATCCGTTATCTCATCTTCATTCTCTTCAAACATACGTTCGCACTGAAAATTATAATAAACAGCTTTGTTATTATACACTAGCTGTTCCCGCGACTTCGTCCGCGTGGAATTTAACTTTATTTTTCTAAAATAAAAGTAGCCTAAGTTACTCATTATTACATCAGCTACCTGCTTACAAAAGTCCCGTCAAAATCGGTCCAGCCATTACAGAGATTAGCCGATAGACAGACAGACAGACAGGATTGTAAAAAATGTTATTTTGGTGTGTGTACCGTATTTATATTCATACACATATAGTAAAAAACTGTTATTTCAATATTACAAACAGACACTCCATTTTTATTTATATGTATAGGTAGATAAGGAGTACAGAATGATAATATTTTTTTAAATATGCATAAAAAAATTGAATTAATAAAAAAACATTACACACAGTACCAAGCATTTTGACACACACACATAGAAATCTTTGACAAAAGAAAGTTCTGAGATTTCTCGAGAATTTTATATGTAAGATATGTTATATATAAAATTCTCATGTCACAGTTTTCGTTCCCATACTCCTCCGAAACGGCTCGACAGATTCCCTCTCATTAAATTTTGTGAGCGTATTGAGTAGATATGAGAATCGGCCAACTCTATTTTTCATCCCCCTAAATGTTAGGGGTAGTCCAACCCAATTTTTTTTTTATTTTAAGGCAAAACAACCTTTTCCGGGACAGCTAGTATTATATAAATTTCTATTATCTAATCTAATTTCTTCACAATGTTAGTTACCTTACTTCTCCGTAACAGCTTGACAGATTTTGATGAAATTTTATATCCATATTCAGTAGGTCTGAGAATCGGCTACTATCTATTTTTCCTACCCCTGAGTGATAAGGGTTGTATTTTTATTTTTTGGACAATATTTATTCTTATATTTTTTCATAAAGTGATATTATAAAATACATACAACCCAAAAATGTCACCCTTCTACCACCAACCCCTATTTTTTAATAGTGATTTTAATTTACCAAATTTGACAAAACAACATTTACTGAGTCAATCTACTTATGTCATATTATTATTATTATTTAATACTAGCTGTGCCTGCGGTTTCACTCGCATAAAATTTATAGCCTATGTATCATTCTAATTTATAAGCAATATTACTGTAAAGTTTCATCAACATCCGTTCAGTAGTTTTTGCGTGAAAGAGTAACAAACATCCATACTCACAACTTTCACGGTTATAATATTAATAATATTTCCGAAGTTTCTACGTTCACTATACTAACATAGTACTCCAGGCTTTTGTTGAGGTCATCGTCCGTCACGAACTTGGTCTTGGAGAAGTCGCCATTCATTTTCCCATCGGGCGTCATGAGCTGCATGATGGCCAGCTTCCCTGTCGCCTTGAAGTACACCCTTACATAGTCATCCATCTTCTTGCCTGAAACCAATACCATTTCTTTGTTAATACATGAATTCTGTTTAAATCTACACTAATATTATAAAGCTGACGAGTTTGTTTGTTTGAACGTGCTAATCTCAGGAACTAATCGTTCGAATTGAAAAATTATTTTTGTGTTGGATAGTCCATATTCGAGGAAGGTTTTAAGTTATATAACATTACGCTACGATCAATAGAAGCGAAGCATCAGTGAAAACTGTTGCAAAAACGGGGAAAATTATTTATATTTGCGAGCTTCGTTGCGTGCGCTGCGTACACGGTTCAAGACACCCAAAAAATATGTATGAAAGAATTATTCCTCTTTAGATGATCTAAAAAAATTTCCGCGACAGTATGAGTCTATCTTTTAACATTGACTCACTATACCTTTTATTCACTCTACCTTTTATAATCAAATTTGGTATCAAAAGTAAATCGCGATAGTGTTTTTGATAACCACGCGAAATCGCGGACATAGCTAGTATATTTATATATTTAAATGGGTTTTAGCACGAATAATTTTATGGTAAATAAAGATTAAGGTAATAATTTACCTCTCACGACTCTCTTACTTGTCGGTTAAAAATATGAATGGACTTTGCAGTTCTGATAGATACAGGTAATGAGCTACATAGCTTGATGTGTCTGACCTGACCTCATGCTCATCTTATCATCCACTACTGGTGCCCCGCCAGCGTAAACAGGCGCAGGCGGGTGCACCGTTCCATTATACGCCACCAGGGAGCAGGACATTGTCGACTACATACGGACCAGAAGTAACCTGACTGGTGACGCAGCTGGAATCGCGTCATAACGCTAGTTTCAAGTCGTTTGTGGGCCGAGTTCCCACCAACATACTGCCTACCTTCATGAAGGAGGACTACTAGCCGAAGGGTGTGGTCTATCAGCGCTACCGTGGCAGATTACCATCATCAGTGCCGTGATCACACAGACAATTTATATTTCTTTTCTTATAATTATATTAGTCATATGTATGTTAGTCTGTAAGGTATTTATAATATGGGCCATTAGTAGCCTGAACTAAATTAATAAATAAACAATAAACTTATCATCTGTCAAAAAAACTACCATCTGTACCATATATCGATTTTATCAAATACTAAAAAAAACCATCTATTAAAAAGAGCAACACACAAGTTTCTTGCTCATTCTTCTTGTGATGAATTTGCATTCAGAATGAGTGGTAGAAACAAAATATGACTTTTCAAAAGTGCTTGTAATGAGTTTATTTGAATAAAGATTATTTCTATTTCTATTTCTACTTATCATTTTCAAACAATAATGTTTGTCGATCATCTCTACTACTATACGGCTCGTTTCAATCAGTTTGTTTGTTCATGTTTGTACACCAATTTCACATAGTAGATACAACACAATGTTACGATTACGCTTTCCTGTTATTTTTTACATAAGCATTTTTCTCTAACTGACTGGCTTGTTTCTTAAGTGTTGTAGTTTTATTGTATTCGTGTATAAGAATATAAATGGCAAAAGGAAAAGATTTGGTACACGGAGAAAATATATTCGGATAGTATTGATATAACAGAAAATGAAATATATATAATAATAATAATAATCTCAGGACAATTCACACAGCGCCATCTAGACCCAAGTTAAGCTAGCTAGAGCTTGTGTTATGGTACTAGATAACTGATACATATACATAGATTTTTTTTTGTAAATACATACATATTATATATAGAAAACACCCAGACCGATACAAACAATCATGCTCATGAATACAAATGTTTGTGCCGTGCGAGGAATCGAACCCGCGACCATCGGTCATAAAGCGGTGTGCTTGACCGCTAGATCACCGAGGTCGTATATATATATATATATACAACAAGAATGTACTATAAAAGAACTATAAATTCAAAAACAAATTTAGAATAAACAATGCATAGATCAGCCAGTTACAACAATAAGGTTTAATTTAAATGTGACTGAACTATTTAAAAAGAAATTTCTCTAATTAATTAGTTTTTAGGAATAAGTTGACATCTATAGATTATGTCACAAATTATGGAAGAATGGGTGAGGAATGGCTGTAGGGAGGAGCACTGTATAACATTGGTGAAGTCACAAACTTCCTGTAATCTAGAAATACAATGAATTGTAATTGTAGTTGAAATAGATTTGTAGCAGATTTTATTGTAGTTTTTTATGAGTAAGGGTGTTAAGGGATTTTCATTTAATGTTAGACATAGACACCTAACATTGTAACAAAACTGACTTACTAAAAAAAAAAAATTCAATTGACTTTCTTGCTAGTTCCTCTCAATTGAATCTCTACGGATGGTAGGGAGAAAATATTATAATATACTAGCTATGACCGCGGTTTCACTCGCATATAGCTTATGTGTTATTCTGTTCAGTACTTTTTCCGTGAAAGAGTAATAAACATCCATACTTACAAACTTTCACGTTTACAATATTATTAAGATATCTATAATTTAATGTTCATAAGCGGCTAAAATGTCCTACATGAATAAATTATTTTTTAATTTCAATTTGAATGTTTACTTACAAATGCCATCAATAACTTCAGAGATGTACACAGCTGACCTGTGTGCAGGTAACTTCTGCTGTTGCAAGTTCCCACTCGCATCCATTCTGAAGTTACCAACCTAGAAATTAATGAAATAAACAACTTAATTTTTTTTTACAGCACCGGGAACAAAAGAGCACGCGGCTCACCTGATGGTAAGTGATTACCGACGCCAATGAGCACCCGCAACGCCAGAGGAATTGCAAGTGCGTTGTCGGTGGTTTAAAAATGGTATTCCTTTTTAAAAGCTCTTTTCTTGAAGGTTTCAATATCGTATCGGTTCGGAAATACCATTGCTGGAAGGTGATCCCACAATGTTGCAATGGGACAAAAAGTTTCTAAAAAACCGCACTGTAGACCGTCATTCATCCAGATGATCAAGATGGTATTTTAGTTTCTGGGTGGTATGGTGGGGAAACTCAGCAGCTGGTATTAATCTGAACAATTCCTAAGAACAGTCCCCGTGATATATGCGGTAGAAAATGTATAGAGATGCAATATCTCGCCGCAGAGTCGATGGGTCGAATCTATCACAAAGACTTTGCATATATATTTATGCATAAAAAATTGTCTACTACAAAACATCATCATTGTCATCATCATCGCAGCCCGGAAGACGTCCACTGCTGGACATAGGCCTCCCCTAAAGATAGGACCTATATTTATATTTAATTGTTATTTCAGCATGTATGTATTTTGGGAATTCATCCCCACATGCTGGAACCTAAGTGGTCTCGGACAGTGCAGTTACCATACACTTACGTTGTGGTATGAACTACCTGCCAAGTTTTTCTCTAGAGACTACAGCATTTTCAAGGAATTAAGGTGTCTTAAGGGTTGGCAATGTGCATGTGACACACCTGGTATTTCAGGCGTCCATAGACTACAGTAAGCATTAATAAAAGCTCATCATAGTTACTAGCTGACTGGCAAAACATGTTTTACCATACAGAGTTATACCCAAAAAAAGTAGAAACTCATATAGCTATAAAAACAGGGGTTGATTGTAAAAGGGTGAAAATTTTAAATGGTATGTACATTTCAATGCTAAATCATAATAAATTAAAAATTAAAAATATTCTTAAGGGTGGATCACCCTTATCATTGAGGGGTGTACAGTAGAAAAAATAGATGTTGTCTGCTTCTCAGACCTACCCTATATGGACACAAAATTTCATCAAAATCTGTTTCAGAGGAGTTTGTTAAGAAACACTCATGAGATGAGAATTTTATATATTAGTTCAATCTATAATTTAAGGTTCTATTTATGTTTGTAAGACAAAATGTATTTGATAAATTAAAAAAAGGAATATTTTTAATTAAAACTGTAATAATTATAATAAGCTATAAGAAGTCACCTGGTCAGTATAGTAAGCGTAGGCTAATCTCCCTTATCACTCTTTTATCAGTAGAGTCTACCCCAGAAATAGGATTAATGGATTTTATTTTAAACACTCAATAATATAATGAATGATTATTCATCAATAATAAAGATTAAGTTAAAATAATAGAGACATTAATTCATTAAAGAATTTGTTAATGACAATGTTTTTATAGAAAAACTTAAAATCCCTAGCACTCACAATATCATCTGATTACACTAACAATGAGTGTGTAGCTATTTCTATGTTGATTATCGCATGCCTCTTACTTTTTATCTGTAATTATTTATATAATAAAAGAGCAACACACAAGTTTCTTGCTCATTCTTCTTGTGATGAATCTGTATTCCGAATGAGTTGTAGAATCAAAATATGACTATTCAAAAGTGCTTGTAATGAGTTTATTTGAATAAAGATTATTTCTATTTCATCATTACACCAGAATTGGTAGAGTTTACAATAATGTTTATACTGTATATCATCATCACCTGCCTCTTCCTTATCCCATTTATTTGTGGTCGGTGTAATATGTCTTTCTCTTCCATTCTTCTCTGTTCACAGTCATTATTCACTCCCTTTCTCACCATATCATCTTTCACACACTCCATCCATCTCTTTCTCTGTCTTCCTCTGCCCTCATAACCATCCACATACATATGTAACACCTTCCTTAAGTTAAAAACCTACTTGTAGACTGATAATCACATATATTCTGTCTTGTGGCAATTTAATCAAGTAGACAAAATAGTTTTGATTTTGTTTTTTACATAAAAATATTTGTTTTAAAAAAATAAAACCATAGATCATTATGGTAATTTTTTTACTAGGTATTTTAAGTTGATTAACACAATATTAGCATGATTAAATTAATATTAACAATTTATTTTTACATTATGCGATTTGCGCGATTTAAATAACCGGTTTTTACTTTAATATTTTTTAAAGTATATGAACAAAAATTAGATGTGAGTGTTGCTTTAATATTTTTTTTATTATTAACTAAACAGCGTAGTAGAATATTTAATTATTAGTTAATTTAATTTCAAACTCTATAAAATAAGTTATAACGTTAGGTTTAACTTACATCGACTTTTTTCCATTTATCCACGCTCTTTATCACAGTATTTAATTCCTCGAAGGTCGTTCTGCACACTGAAATAAATTTTTTACTACTTTATTTACAGAATTTTATAATAAATAAATAAAATTAAAATTAAACACAAACCTAAACATTTCAAATTTTTTGGATCTATCCTTGCTGAAACGAATGTTAGTAAAAGAGGTAAAAGCAAAATGAAGACGCTAGACTTCATATTTTAGTAATACGGCACTTTTTAAAATACCAAACGTGTAATTTCAAGGATATCTTTGTAGAAATGAACAATTTTAGGATTTCCCTACGTGTTAAAAAATATTTATCTTTTCAGAATTCTGACATTTCTACTGTCAAATATGAAAATACACGAACTGTACTGCTATTGGCCGTACTCTGTCTTCGTACTTGTGATTGGTTAAGATTTTTGGAGCGGGAGATATCTTCCAGATTGCCAGTTTTAATATACAAAATATAATGGTAGATCTTCGTAACCCTCATATAGATATAAAATTAAAATTTTGATGAATTACCCTTATAATAATTATTGATATTAAAATATCCTATTAAATATAAATTATGATCTAACACAGTTGTTGATGGAATAAATTAATTTCTTAGGCTTTTATATTTATGTCATTTTCTTATGTGATAATCGAAACCAGTCTGATCTGTCCCTAGACTATAGTTGGATAACTGCGCACTGCTGTGCAGAGGAGACTATTAGTGGGGATTTCTAGGGTATCTACTTATCTGTTAAAATTTTATTACTACATAATTTACATAGTTAATAATGTTTTTTAAATCTATTTAAATAGGTCAAACAGTCATTTTTCACTCTTTTTACACCATAAATTTAAGCCAGCCTTATGTCCGTTTCTTTAGTTAAAAAATTATATAACCTTTTAGTTGCTACTAAATCAACAAGGTACTGCGATGCGGCACACTGAACTAAAAGATATATCAATAAATAGTCACAGTCACGAAGCTTAACATTTGCGAGAAGGCACACTAGTCAAATATTAGGGGCTATAAACTAAGTATTACTAGGATTTAATTGAAGATTCCCACGGGAACTAATTAATGGACGTCTCTTCCTTTCATAAGCAGATGTATTTTACTATATACAGACATTTCTATAGGTTCATATAAACATTTAAGAAGAAGAAATACTTAAATACTATTAGCAACACTCAATATTACACCTAAAGAGTGTACTAAATTCTATACGTTAGTACTGGTACAATTATTTTTGCAAGTAGCTATTAACAAAATAAAAAATAATAATGAAAAACTGTCAACAGGGTTAATGTCAATGTGTGTGTAACGTCAAGTAATCAACAGGAAAATGTAGATGTCAAAACAAAAACTTATTACAATATCTATCAGAAAAAGTATAACGTTTAAAGTACGTAATACAAAGAAAAATCGGTTTGATATTTACAATTTACTGAGTATTATATTATAGAATTTTGTGCTGCTTTATAATTAATAAATCTTTGCCCTTTCTGGCTCCCTCGGTCGCGCCCGTTCTCCGCTTTTCCGCCCGCCGCCCCCACCCATGAGCCGACCCAAACTGAACCAAAGTACCAACAGTTCGCATTCGGTCTATCCACGCGCAAGACGTTTGCTCCGCGGAATGTGTAATTTTTTGGTGCATATCAAATCTTTCAAAATTCTTAAAATACCTTAATATTCTCGTTTGTTGAGTCGACGTGTGACGTTACAGTGACTACTGTGAAGAAAGAATCACATTTCAAGTAAAAATTGAGGTAAGTGAATGGTTGATAGACTGCGTCTTTTTCTTAATAGTGGCTTTTTATCTACTTGTTTAGTAGATTTATATTGCTTTTTACTGTAGATTGACCATTTTGCTAATTAGGATCAGTTTAGTGTATTGTATAGGTGCATTACCCACACCATACGTTACGCCCAGAGTTATCGTAATGATGCGTATATACATAATATTTGATTACAACATTCGTCAAATCCCAATCTAGTCATATGCAGGTGAAAAATCTGAATATCATAGTGTATAGACAGCGAGCTCCGAGACCGCGCGCTCTCTACGTTCAATCTAACGACTTGGCAACGCACTATTCAATTGCACATTTATTAAACTGCTCGTTTCGATATGGAAATGTAATGTTATTATCCTTCGACCGGCATCTCCCTTTGTTTTCTGTGTAAAATCGGCCCTTTGTCCTTCGATAGGGAGCGCTGAGCGCGCGGTGGTATAGGAATTTCAACTCTAGAAAAGTGCCATAATACATTATGATAGGTACGTATACATTCATCCTCTGGCCGAGCGTCGTTTTCGAAGCGCCTGTGTTCGTGTATTCGTACGTGGAGGACGTTAGTGTGCTGTGTGTTAGTTTGTTTATAGTCACCGCCGACCGGAAAACGCCCGTACTGTCTTAGCATTAAAGTATAGAATACTATAAAGGTCGGTGGCCTCGTCAGTGTTTGACTATCGATCTTTGCGGTGGCCAATGGCACATGTCGGCGCGATACTGCGCGGCCGTGCCTCGCCCCGCTCTGGTGAAAGCCGGGCGTTCGCTAGCCACTACACAATCTATAGTAACTGTGTATAGTTAGCTATCTTATCATATATTATAAATTGTATCGCTCACGCGCCCCCTCGCATCGTTCGTAGCTATATAGATTTTGTTTTCATTTTCCAAACTATGATAATAAGTCCGCGGAGTGGCAGATATAATTCAAATCATGTTTTGTTGAGCACTGTTTGCCGATCAGCGTGACGGCAAGTGCGGGGGGGAGGGAGCCAGAAATAGAAGTGAGAAACTAGCGACGTGGCAACGCCGCACCGATCGGCACTCGCCCGTCCGCTCTCAGTGTCGGTTCAAAATGGCGTCCGTGGGTGATCGATACTGTGGAATTTGCGTTCAAAACGTTCGAATTTGTGATGTATCTGGTCGTGGGTCGGCAGGAGCTTCGCTCCAGGACCGCTGGGTGTGGGCTCTGCACCCGGCCCCGGCTCCCGATCCGCTCAATGTACGTATCTCTACCATATTGCGCCGACACTTTGCCCTCCCTACATAAGTGGTTATGGATATGCAGTGCATAGTACATCGGACGCTTCCAATCTCTATAATCTAGATGTCTAGCACTTGCATATCCATATATCTATTGAACTATCCTCTTAGCGTGTTAGGCTGTAGGTAATGTAAGTACATATGCAAAGGTATGAAACGTCACGTAAGCTTTTTTTTCAGATTACGTAATACTGTCTACTTGTGAGGACTTGTTATAACATGTGTATTAGGCATGTTTAAGACGTTATCTCCACAGATCTTGATAAATTCATCTAGCAATCATGTGTTCGGAGCGCTTAATATTTTCATTCCATATGATGTAAAACAAAATGGCGGCGCTACTTGTAAATTACGGCGCAGTAGCGCGCACAGAGCGTCGGCAACGTCGCATTCGCGCCACTCCACAGTCACTTGCTCGATAAGAAGTTTCAAGGCTAAATGTTTCGTATCCTCAGCTTATAACAATGGATAAAATTAACGCGCGATAATACACCTTGTAGCATTTTGTATTCAGTTGTGTGTAATTAAATTTTAATAATTGGTTAATGTTGAATTCTAATATTGTGGTCACGCACACACGGGTCATAAATTGAGGTTAATAAGTTGGCGTCTCTTGATACCTCTCCGCATAGCCGCATACTTACGGTTATCTGTTTGCATGTGTGCGTGATGAACACACAGATGCAGTGTACGTCACACTTGCGGCGTACCTTTATTTGTCAGACAGGATAATAAATTTCAGCGCACATTATGTATTGAAACATTACATCATTTTGTTTTTTCTTACTTCTAATTGTAAACATTGGGTATTTATTGACATCAAACAAAAGTTATATATTTGTATCGGATTTAAATTGTTATCTTGTATGAGATAGCGTTTAATATTGTTATGAGCATTTTTATATTATGTAATTCAATTTAATAATTCGGGTTTAGGTCTAGTAGGAACATCTACATACATCTACTATAGTCTCTATTATTAGAATGAATAGTAGATGATGCAATAAAAGCTATTTTTTTAAAGATACAATATAGGTGTTAGCTTTTTTGTCTAATAAAATCTTAATAGAAAAATAGCCTAGAATCCAAGCCAGATTTGATTTACGTATTCCACGACATTAGTGAGTTTCTTCGAAGTTATCACTAGATGGCGTCACTCGTAGTCCCGCTGGTTATATTTACGTTTTGTTCATGTTTATTTGGTTTGTTTCATCTCCATTTCTGCGATCATTAGTGCTTAATGCCTTTTTCATGGACTTTGTTCTAATCTCAAAAGATTTGTTTCATGACGTACCTACATTTTAACATAACTAGAGTAATGTAGCTGTTTTGAAAACTATCGTGTTTATGTCTTGGATATCAACTTAAAATGGTATTGCGTTGGATTACTTTTATTTTTTGCAATTTCTGGTATGAAATAGTAATAGTCTGAGAGAGACATTCATGACTTTGTACTCGTCCAGCTTTTATGCTATTATGAAGAATTGTTAGAGAATTTTGAATTGAACTTTTTGGGAAGTCTATGTTTACCTTTATAACACGATAAACTTCAGGCGACTTTGTAATTAATATTTATACTTTACAAATATAAGAAAAATCTCTAATTTAATATTAACATAGGCAAGTTTTTTTAAGTAGGCATAGATTAAAAGTAAACATTATTTTTGTGCAAGATCAACTACATGATAAAGGTGAGATTGTTAGTCATGAGGACTAGTGGCTGTATTGTTAGTAATATACCATGTCAGGTCGACGTCCATGTGGTCATCCCTAGAAACCGTCGTCGCCACGATGACCTTACTGACCTAACTGGACGCTCTCCCTTCGAGGTTCAAACCCCTAGCGGTGCTCTCAGACTAAAGTTGTATCCATCCAGCGGAATATGAACTTCAGCCGCTCTATAAGTACTTCCACGAGTTTGGAGTGCCATGTACACTTGAACCCTGTGGTCTGGTAAAGCTGTAAAGGCCAGCTGCGGTATTAGAGTAGTTCGTAAAAAACGTACTCCTCATCATCCTGTCCCGTTAGCACAAGCGGGTGTAATATTTCATTATTTTCTTACTATATTTCCAACCTTACAATTACATCAGTCATAATTTCACTTATAACAATATAGTACGTTTATAAATTACGATATCGCAATCTTAAAATAGCTACCCAATGATTAAACAACCCTGCCAACTATTATTAGGTCCTTGTTATCACGAAGGTTAGAACGAAACTCTGTTTAATTATAAAGTTTATTGCACATAATTGTAGTGTCAAACGCTGCAAGTTGATATTGATAACGTTTTCTGTCCTCGCTATAGATATATATGTAGTTTAGAAGTTCTTAGACTACAATCAGATGGACTGCAGAACCCGTATCGGTGTATTCAATTGCAGTAGGTTTTCTTTAATTATATCTTTTTCTTATCTAAGCGGGTTGTATGCTGCTTTAAATATCTTTCGAAGAAATGTCAATTATCGTTTTTTGTTATTGCTATAGAAATTTTCAGAAGTCCTCAGGTCACAATGAGGACTGTAGAATCCGTATCGGTGTATCCTTAATTGCAATTGGTTATATTTAATTATCTTTTCTTATCTATTCTTTATATACATTTCGAAGAAATCTTCTGTTGTCAATATAGGAATTTTCAGAAGTTCTCATATCACAATCAGGATTGCAGAAACCGTATCGGTGTATTCATATTGTTTTCTGTTATCGCTATAGTAATTTTCAAAAGTTCTGGGTTCCGGACAGAATATGAATCAACGTATTCAATTGCAATAGGTTCTTTCATCATTTTCTTATCTAGGTAGCTCATATGTTCTTTTAAATATTTTTCGAAGAAAATAGTACATTCTTTTTGTCCAAAGCAAAGTTAAAGTACTTTGATGTATTTAATCAATTTTATATTGAACTTGTAACTACTACTATTAATTTGTCTCTTATATACAAGCTATGGCTGCGGTTTACGCAAAGTTCTAGAAAAACGATTTATATTCACTTGGCTGTTTTGTTTGGGAACAGATACAGTAAAACACAAATCCGAAGTTTGAGTTTATCCGAAACATACAGATAATTCGAGAGGGGACTTTGTTTTATAATACGTATAAATGCATGACAACTAGTACACATATCATATAATTCTAGATCAGTTAATCTTTATGTAGAAACAAAAGTGTTCGCGGCTTTACAACGTTGTAAACAAAACTGTCACCAACGCGTCATTGAGAAGTGAATAGTGCTTTGTATTTTTGTTTTAATTCTTTTCAACTATACAATACTTCTACAGAAGGTTATATTATAATAAATACCTTAACACATTACTTGTAGTTACTTCATGTATATATTTTACACGGTAACAATATTATATCACTGAGCTTGCAATTTTTTTATCAATAATTATGGGATGATGCTTCTCACCTGCTCGTCAGGAATTGTTAATTTTAAACTAATATAGAGAGAGGTAAATACCTTTATTTTCCATATAAGTATTCGTGTTAAGACTCGGTTAATAATCAGGAATTGGCTAGCCATCCTTATTTATATCTAGAGGTGCTTTGACATGCCCTGTGTTATTACTAGCAATGGGACGAAAAATTCCAATACTAAAGGGGGTGTCCCCTTTCCCTTCTGAATTGTAAATTATATGTCTACAAAGAAGAGTAAAATGAAATTATATATTTTCTATTAGAAGTAGGATAAAACAGTCCTTTTAAAACAATACCAA